TATTATTTTTTTCTAAGTCACTATTATTTATTAACTTCATTGTCTATTAGTCACCGTACTTTAGAAAAGGAAAGAGATTGAATAAATCCTACAAGGTTTCGTAACTGGTAAGAACCAAGGTCAGTTTGGACACCCTGCTCTTTGTGACTTCCTCTTTGTTCTTCTGTTGGTTCTTCCTTGGATGTCAGCTGATTGCTCACATTGTTTTAGAACGTACTGGGGGCCTGTCCAAACACTGCCCTGGTAGAGAAGGCCAGTGCCTTGGAGATAGGAGGAACTTCCCCATCCACCCGGTCATCTTCCTCTTGAGAGACTGTGGGCTCAGCAGATTCATTTTCGGAGCCTGAGTAATTCTCTCCTCACTTCTACCCACGCTTGGGCCTAATCGGGCAGGCAGCACCACACTGGGACATTATGGGGCTGCTTTTTGATGGCTCTTTGCTAACTATTTAGGTGACCATGATAACGTCACTTGCTCTCTCTGGGCCAAGGTGCTCTTAGGCCTTTCCCTCAGGCCCCAGCCCTCCTAGAACCAGTTTGGAACAAACAAATCAATTATAGGGCACAGCCAGGGGAGGTAGCCCTTGTCCTATTGTATTGGTTTGTTGCTCAGACAAACCAGGCCCCAGGTGCTGTAGTGCATGGATCAGGCTGCTCCTCGGAAGAATCGCCTGATCAGGCAAGGTTGAGTACCATGTCCCTGCCTCCCATTCTCTATCTCCTCCATCTACTAGATATAGCTTTCTTCCAAGGACTCGGTCCAATTCCCTCCAAAATAGCTTCCCCTCTTTGGGCTGTCATTCTCTGAGGGCTTTCTGTATGGTCTAGAATGACTTCTCTCTGGCTAACCTTCTTTCCCATAGCAAATCAATTATGAGCATGGATTCTGGCATTAGACATTCCTGGGTTCATACCCCAACTCCCCCACTTACTAGCTCTCATTCAGCCGTGGTCAAATTACTTGACTTCCCTTAGACACAGTTTCCTGTCTGTTCGATGGGAATAGTACGAAGTTCATAGGATTTTCACCATAGGACCTTAGAGCTTCTAAGCACATAATAATAGCTAGCTATTATTTTAATCAGCTTCTCTCAGCAAGTTGAAAAGAAATCCAATTAAAATCATTCACTGGAAGATGTGAATGGCACTAGGTGTAACCACACCCCCAGAGTGAAACTTCTTTTGCTAGTAAATGTTGAAAGCTTTGATTGTTGGTGGGGTGGGAAAGAATGACATAATGTTTCCCTTTCTTCCTCCTGGTGGGAGCAAGTGAGAAGGTGGGTAGGTGAGTAGGCCTGTTTCCAGTGTCCTGTATTTTGGTACCCTTTTGTATTCACCGAGTGCCAGAGGGAGGGGACAAGCAACTTAGCACCCATTTTCCACTCCAGGCCAGGATTGTTAATATTTTCTCTTTGTTGATGACCCATCATGTCTAATGGAATCATGGAAGTCTGGGGGGTTATGTCTTTTGCTGCTCCCTCCACAGAAGGGCCCTTTTGTTCTGAGAGGAAAGGAAATGGGCCCAGCTTGGAAGGATGTGCACCCCATGAGGTCCTTCATATCCCTTCTATCCCCAGTCAGACAAGGCACTGAACTTTGCCAGTGGTTCCCCAACCTGCCTGTGCATCAGACTCATGCAGGGGAATTTAACGTATACTCTGGGTCCCATCCAGCTGAGGCGGTGCTAGTTCTCTTCACATCCAGGCTCCAGCTTCCTCACCAGAACCCTCTGTGGGGCAGTCTGTCTTTCATTTAAGAGCCAGCTCAAATATTTCTCCTCATGGCTGAATAACTTGCTTTTCCCTCTGAGTTTCTGGTGGTGGTCTGGCCTTTTTCTTGCTGAGCTGAAAGGTAATAGTGTCTGTCTCCTCGACTGTAATGGAGCCCCCTGGGGGAGGGAACATGCTTTACCCAGTTTGTGCCCCCTGTGTGTAGCACAGTGGCTAATACACCTTAGTTACCAGAAAGGTTTACGCAAAATGTTATGTATGTTCTGAATCACTTCTTAATTTTTTAACTTCAGTGCTCTGCTTAGTGTACAGCAGGTTCTCAAAAAAAATTCTTCAGGTGAATGAACATGACACAGCTGAGTGCCTCAGTTTGCTCTCAAGCCATGACATTTGTCAGCCATTTACTTCTCCTTTTCCTCACCTGCTGGCATTTCCCACATGAAAGCAATAGAGTCTGTGATACACTTTGCCATTCTTGCTCCAGGTCCTCTGTATTTGAAAATATCTGGCTTTTAAAGAACAGATTCATTATTTCCTCCCTATTCGGTGCCATCTCTTGTATCTGGTTGTAATTGAGCTTTTGTAATCAGCTTGGAGTGAGAGATGGGGGCACTCCAACAAACAAAAAGAGTTAGAAAAACAATGGCTTCTTTTCCTATTACAGTTGTCTTAACAAATCATCAAGTTTTGTCCACCATTCCGTCCCCCTCATGCACACTGGACAGCTTTGCTGTCACTCTGGAGTCTACACAGGAGGGTCTGTTTTTGTGTGTGAGCATGTGTCCATGTGCACAGCTGTGTTCTCTTTATTTCTCCGCACGGTCACTTTGATTTTGTAGCTACCCAACTGTGGCATAGAGTTGGAGGTCATGAGTACCTACAGATGACCCCTTAATGTAAATTTCCAAATTCCAAAGTAACTGAGCTGTTATTTTCTTTGTTTCTTTTTCTGTTAAACACAGACTCTTTATAACCTAGATTGCACTAGTGGTTGTTTTACGCAAAGCCAAATCCACAGAAATTTAATGTAGGGGGCAAATATAGGAGCTTTGGGAAATCCAACTAGTGTAGAGTGTGGGGCTTGGGAATATTTTAAGAAGTCTCTTAGAAGGCTAAGTTCACTCCCTGAAATAACTCTTGTGCAGGAGTGAATGGTAGGTATGGACTGAAATAGAGATATTTATGGATGTTGTAAGAAGCCTCGGAGCTGTCTTAAGTGGCGCAAATGTATGATGAGCACATGCGAGAGTCGGTGGCCTGCATTTCCTCAGATTTTTACAAACTCCCAGGAACGTGTCAGTGGTTTCTAGATGCCCATGGCAAGCTAGGAGTTACGTAAGGGTGGTGGTTAAAGGCTTTCCTGCTATATCTTCAACTTGCCGACTCCCATATTTCTCCTTTGAAGCTCCTGGGGATTTAGGGAGGAAAGTATAGAAAGGTTTTAAGGGAAGTTTAACATTCCTCATCAAGAAAAGGTAGGGAGCTGACTGACGCCTGGTCCCCACAAACTGGTACCTGCCTCTCCTTCCAGCCTCAGTCCTGGCTGCCCCACTCATCATTTTTCTCTCTCCTCTGCAGCTCTCTCTCTCTCCCTCACTTAAGGCATCTCTGCCTTTCTCAGCACTCTGCCCTGAGATGTCCACTAAGCAGCCTCACGTTTTCCAATAAGGAGGCACAGGTTGGAACAAGCAACAAGGAATTTGCCCACCTGCCATGCTTTCCTTGGCTTCACTCTAACTCTCCTTCCCCCAGGGGAGACCACTGCAGGGGCAGACGCATGGTTATATGTTACCAGTGACCAGTAGTAAGTGCCTCTTGGAACAAGGCAGTCCTGCCCCAGTGGTCCCCATATGCTGTCACAATCTTTCCTTGGTCAGTCTGACTTTCTGATATTTTAAGGTCATATCTTCCTCGTGTTCCAGCCCCAAAGCACCTTTGAGGGGTGAAAAGTGTTTTAACGTGCCAAAGGAAGATGTTAGTACCATCGCACAGCTCCTGGGCGCCCTTTGCCTGGTGCGGTGTGGTGTGATGCCTCCTGACGTCCAATGAGGCAGCCCGGCTTAGGAGGAACTGTCATTAAAACACATTTCACCAACTACAATTGGAAAATGAATTCATTTCAGTAATTATTATCGTCACTTGCACTAAAGTTTATAATTATGAACTTTTTATGATTATTATTTCTCTAACTGGATTAGCATCTTCTTCACGGAAAGCAGGGGGCCTGTTCATAGTAGGCCATATCTACCACAGTGCCTTGAATGTAGAACTTTCACGGTCAATATAGACTTGTAAAGGTAGCACTAAAACAAATATTTGATAGCAAAGAAATGCACATAAATCTGCTCCAATCTTGGCCTCTGCTTTCTATTCTCTTTCCACTAGTAGAAGGTCACCTACGTAGCCCTGTCAGTACAGAGAACTGCCACTTTGTGATTAGAAAATCATAGCCATTTTGGACCTTTGCTTGAGAGTCTCACTATTTTTACAAATGAGAGGAGCAGCACTCCACATTACATAGCTCCAGAGTTACCATCCATGTCGTCAAGCACATGAATGATGCCTCCTGGAGCTGTCTGTAGGGGCTACCCTACATCAGAGGGACAGTCATTTAAAAAGCAATTTATTGATTACCAAATCCATTTTAAGACATTAACAGAAACAAAAGTTTGTCAGTTCACTTGCCATCTGACTATCTGACAAATCATTCTTTCCATTTTTCCTGAAATTTTACACTCCTCATTTGTGTACATCATTGATACATAGCCGTAGTCTAGATAGTCTATCATTTTATACTTTGTTCTTTTTTCTCTTTCAAGGCTACAGTATAAGTTTGTCTGTGCTGATATCATCCTTGTCATTGTTGATGGCTTAATTATTGCATCAAGTGGATTATAATTAATTATTTGACCACTCAACAATTAGCTTATTTACAGTGTTTTTACTATTATAAAGAATGGCCAAAAAGCAAAGGAAACTCTAATTTATTCATTTTGACCTATGGGTCAGTTGCTATGCCACATAATTATCTCATTTGTTCCTCTTAACAATTACTTATGGAACTGAGACTCAGACTGCTTAAGTAACTCAATAAAATGAGCTAATGTTTATTGACCATTCAGACACTTTGCTAAGAACTTTTCATATATTTTAATTTGTTTCTGTTTAATTATTTGCTTTGGAATCTTTTCTGTGTTATTTGTAGAGCAAAGTATCAGGTTTGTTTTGAAGCTAGGTGCTGCTAACTCATAAACACAAATTTTTTTTCAGGTCCCAAACCAGTTGTGTTCCTGCAGCATGGCTTGCTGGCAGATTCCAGTAACTGGATCACAAACCTTCCCAGCAACAGCCTGGGCTTCATTCTGGCAGATGCTGGTTTTGATGTGTGGATGGGGAACAGCAGGGGGAACACCTGGTCTCGGAAACACAAGACGCTTTCAGTTTCTCAGGATGAATTCTGGGCCTTCAGGTATATATGAATTAAATTATGACAGGGGTGTATTTCCTTGGTTCTTAACGCAGACACACAAGGAGGCAGACAGATGGGTAACTCAAGATCATATGACTTGGGAAACTGATGCATCGTGAAAGGTTTTAAACATTTTTAGGAATTTAATAAATAGCAGTAAGGTAAATTATAAGTAAATGAGTACATTTAAGAATTAGATTCAATTAGGAATATTTAGTTATTTTGGCATTCCCGGTGATGTGGGAGCTGCTGGGTAAATTGTGTCCCATAACCTTCTTCCTTCCTCCATAAACATGTATTCCAAATGTTCACGATTCGATATCCAGAAATTTTCTTTTTCTCTCTCTTGCTTCTGGCTCTACCTCTTAATCACCATGTGAAATTGGGCACGTTGCTTAAATCCTCTGTGTCTGTTTTCTTTATGTAAAATGGAGATGATGGATACCTATCTTATAAGGTTATTGGGGGATTAAAGGAGAGGATGCAAGAAAAGAGCCTGGTGCATCATAAGTGTAAGAATTGGCTCATCCATCTCCTGATGACAAACAGGCACACACTCACACGGGTGTTGGTACCAGGTAGAGAGACCATGCTATGGATCCTCCAGACTTGCTTCCCATTTGTAATACCAGAGCCTACCTAAGGACATGAAATACAAGAATGAGAGCTTTTACCAATGACATGTATAAGAATATATTTATTGTCACATTATTTGTAATGGTGACAAATTAAAAACTACCAGATGTCCATCAGCAATGAATGGACAAGTAGATGTGGGATATTTACACAATGAACAACCTACAACTATGTGCAACACTTTGAATGTAGCCCAATATAGAAGAATACATAGTACTTGATCCCATTTATAGAAAGTTCCAAAATGGGTAACACTAGTTTATTGTGTAAAAAATGAGGAGAATGGTTACCCTTGGAAGGCAGATTAAAAGGGGGCCCATGGGTTTCTGCAGTCTGGTAATATTCTGGGGATTTTTTTTTTTTGTGCTAAGTCATGGTTTACCTAGTTGTATTCAGTTTGTGATAACTCGTCAAACTGCACACTTATTATTTGTGTGCTGTTGTATTTATATGCAATGTCTCAGTAAAAGATTTCCATTTTTGGGTTATAGTTATGACGAAATGGCAAATTATGATTTACCGGCTTCAATTAACTTCATTCTGAATAAAACTGGCCAACAACAAGTATATTACGTGGGTCATTCTCAAGGTACTACAATAGGTATGTATCTAATAAAGATCGGAAGTTTCTATAATGTATGATCACAGAGTTTGCATTTGTTCTGAAAAGTGAAATATAAAAGGTAATGTTAGCTCCAATATAGTTTTATTTATTATTATTT